AAAGGGGAGAACCATAACAGGAAGTGGGGAAAACACTTTTATTGACTCAACTGTAGTTATTAGATAGAAAAGCTAAATTTGAAGAAGTGTAAATTTCAATTTAAAGAAATGTTTGCAGCTATGTCATGTCATTAACACTTTGAACAAAGCTTGCTGAAAAAGGAGGATGTGTCCACAAATCCGACACCTTTCATGTGTATTAATTATTGACTCAAATGACCATAATCCAAAGGTTATCATGGGTCATCGCTGGGGTTTAGTAGAAAAAAGTACCAGTAACTGGGATTATTGAGTTTGATTCGAAGGGTCCCAATAAATGTCAAACTGTTTTGTGGCAAGGCGCTAATAGAGTGACCATCTGTATAAAAAATATTTAGGTTTGGCAGGATAAACAAAATACAACATTATTTAGTACTTTTTTGTGGTTGTATGTCTAAAAAGCCAAGTACTATAAACCCATTTTATTTGCTTATCCTAGTACACTGTCAAATAGCTTATGTCTCTGTGCATACACAGTTGTAAATGTATTTAAATCAATGTTTATGTGATGTGTTAATTATAATAACATCAAAACACTAATATGTCAAATTGTGTATTTTATATTGTTTTATTTTTACCTTCTAAGAGGGCAATTTTAAAATATTTTAAAGATGATATCAGAACAAAGCAAAGTATTTGGTCTTTAGTCGTGTGATTAAATTTTGAAACATGCTTCCAGGCCACTTTTGTCTAACATGAATTTTATGTAGGGAAAACAAATAAATTAGTTATGTTTTCAACTCAGTGAATTAAACAATGAAGCCAAAGCCAAAAAGACACACAAAGGAAAGAGATAAAGAGAATGAACATGCCATAGTTGGTAATGCCATTAATATGAAGGGAGGGTGGGGGCATCCAAGCTGATGAATATTTAAGTATGCCCAAAGTGAAGTACTGTTTTAGGAACAAAGTGGGACAGAATGCACTCGTAAAGGAAACCCTTCAGGGTCTATTCTTACTGTTTATAACTTTATGAATATTCATTTTTTATATTGTCCCTAAAACAATTTGCTTAATGCTATTGAAATGTTTTTAACCATAAAATGTGCGTATTTTAGCCTATGTACCTCTTAGTCTGTATTTGAATATAAAATCTGCTGAAAAAAAGCTCTGATTTTAGTTTTTCACACCTATTCTGATTTTAGAAACCAAATCAGAATAGATGGGAAATGAATAGAATAGAATATGTATTACTGTGATTGTCACAAGTAAAATAGAATTGGAAAAGCTGTGTTGTAAGGGCATAGAATATAAATTCCCATTATTGAATATCCCTTTATAATCATATTGTATTTCCTTTACCTTTTTCTGTTGGATAGAAACTCGTTTAGCCCTCTTGTCCTTGGTCTAGGTACCGGACCTGCAGCATCTGTTTGATAGTAACAGTTCACATGCAGAGCTTGACCCATGTGAGTAGCATCCATTATAATGATCTGGGCCAGCAGGAATTGTGAAGTGTGGGGAGAGGATAGCCAGCAATCTTTTGGCTTCGTTATTGACCCTCTGGAGCACTTTCTTCTAAGCCACCGTACAGCTGTTGTACCACACAAATAGTAGGTCAATATACTCTCAATAGAGTAGCAATTAAAGACCACCAGCAGTCTGATCTTATTTTTCCGAAGAACCCTCAGGAAGTGCAGTCTCTCCTGGCCTTCTTCACCAGCTCAGAGGTTTAACTCTCCAGATCAAGTTCCACTCAATGTGGATTCCCAGAAAGCTACCCTCTCCAGTACCCATTGATGATCAGTGGGAAGCTTTCCTTTCTCCTTTCCTAAAGTCAGTTTTATTCCTCTGTTCTTCGAGATGTTGAGAAGCCAGTTACTTCTGTGCACCTCTCTATCTTCAACTCCACCTTGTTCCTTTAGATGTTTAGTGTTCAAAGCATTTCATGACCACTGACAATAGTGAGGAAATAAAAAAAAAAAACAAACACTAAAATAAATTAGTGTATCATTACAGTTAAAAAGATATTTTTTGTTAGTTATTTCCCCATTTATGACAGGCAGGAAATGAGTAACAGAACTTTTTGATCACTATTAAATATTGAATCACAGGAATTATTTGATCCATAATTGTATTGATTTTCAAATCACAATCACAAATAATTTACACTTGTAGCGACCTCAGGCTGGTCATTAGCCAACAACAGTTCACTCTTTGTGCCACTGTCCACTATACGTTACACTTAAAATGAAAATAAATTGTGGTTTTCAGTGGTACATGGTTTGATGTTCCTTTATATGAAATTGTTACTATTAAGAAATCTGAAACATGGACAAGTTTTCATTGATAAGACCTTCACCATTACTTTTCAAAGACAGACTTATGTATCGTTTTTATATCAGTGAACTGTCCTTGAGCATGATTGTAAACCTTTTTATACTCATGCATCACTCTGAGTCTACATCAGCAGAATGCTTAAAACATCTCAGGAGATGATTAATTTTTTCGCAGTGAGCGATGCAAATCTCATAGTGTTTTTATGTATTGAGTTTAGGTTTAATTGCAACCCTTTTAATGCACTGCTGTCTTTAATGTATCCCTACTCACTTGATTTTGGCTCTTTTTTTATCCATATTTAAATATAATTTACCCTATCATCGGTAGAAAGACAAGGAGCCTTTTAGTGCTGTGTTTTTGATATCTCATATCACATTTGGAAACAATAATAAAAATAAATAAGTAATACATTTAAAGACACAGCATTGTTAAGGTCATAGAAACGGGACGGTTCACAGCTTCTCATTAGACAGTTTAATGGCTCACGAGGGTTTATTCTCTCTTGAACTGTTACAAGTTATTGAAGCAATATTTTCCATTTTGATGATGGTTGTGTTACAGAGCGGTGTCTGATATATATTCAGTAGAGGAAAAAAAAAATTGTTTTCATCTGTGTTTTTAGTGTTTTTGTATCTTGTACAACCAAAACTTCATTTGATTTGCGATCTGTAATATCTTCCATTTTACTTTGTGAAAACTATGCCCATTGGCAGGCATATAAACTGAATCTAAGGGTCTGCCAAATACAATCAGGCATCCAGCAGCTGAAATTCTCATAACCTAATTTTTTTAATGTGTGCAACCTTTCTGGTCCAAACATCAGAGCCAACAGTAGAACATCCTCAGGCAAATGGAGTGTTTTGTAAATTGCAAACTTTAAAGTGCTTTTCAATCCAGAGTTATGATGGATGCAGATGAAGAAGTTTAAGTGGCTTTTTAACAATGCCCTCTGTTTTATTCTAGTTTTCAAAGTTTATTTAAAATAATAAAGCTATGAAATATCTATTTTTGTTGCAATTTTCAGTGTTGTTGAAGGTTTCTCTCCAACAAAGAGTACCTTTAAAAATCTAATTGATATAAGCTTTATTCTAAGTTATTTTATAAAACACATAGAAATTCAATCATTTTACAGTTCGTTTCCCCAGAATCTAGGATGGTTATTCCAAACACTTTATTGGCTAAGATCCTTAAGCATGGTTATATCTTTATATTTTGGTGGAAGTTTTGCCCTATAAAATTGTTTATATCTCTTGAAGTGTGTTATATTTTCTTATAAACCAAACACGAACTTAGAATTTTGAAAAATTTGGTGTAAAACAACATAATGTTGAAGTGTAGATATAATGACAGTTTTCCTGTGATGAAGGATATTGAAATGTCCCATTCAGAGTGTTTCTAAAGCCATTAAGGGGATACAATACAAGCTGATGTGTTGTGGTCAGATTAAACAAACAGTATGCATTTATGTATTTATTTATTTTTTTGGTTGGCAAAAACACCATCACACGTGTTGTAATGGTTGGCAGCATAATGATGCTTTTATTAGGCAGGAATATAGGTGCAATCAAGGATAAAAATCTGTTGACACAAAAACGCTAAAAATAATGGTTGGAATTCATAATCTATTATGACAACCACAACAAATATGCAGCCGGAGCTGCAGTTGTGATCTTTTGATCTAAGGATATTCATGTGTTAAAGTGATTCAAAGCAGTAGGACTTCAAAATTGCTTTTCACTAATACCCACCATCCAATCTGAATGTGCTTGAGATAATATGCAAAGAAAGACCTAACAGCCTGATTTATTGCAATAGATGGCAACACAAAGCCTTGTATTAGGTGGGGTAAATACAGTGCATTTTTTTAGATTTTTGTAGAACTGCTGAAGTTGTAAAACAATGCAATGCAAAGTACTCATGAATATCACATTTTCATTTTCAAGAGTAAAACTTCTGTAAGGAATTTGTACCAAAAGAATGTGAGCATGTCCAATGCTGAAATGTTTCAGAAAAAGAAGCATTATTTTTTGTAAGGTTTATGTTGTTTGTTGGGGCAAACATGGTTTATCCCAAGCTAATCATCCTGATATCACATATTTACTTTGGTGATTGAAACGAGCTATACCGGAAACATCGTAACTCTTAAAGTAGTTTGAAGCTAAATATTGTCTGCAGAGAGGTTTTTTTCAGCATCATGTGTGCACACTCTATGAGTCAAAATCAGGCTTTTGGCAGACCCTCACTGTGTCAGTGATGGTAATAGTTTGCCAGAACCTTAGGGGAGCTGCTCAGCAGGATTGGAGTGTGTGTGCATAGAAGTGTGTTTGTGTGCACACAAATGTTTCTGTGCACATATCAGCAGGAAAAGGTAGAGCAGACCCCACAGTACGTGTCTCAACAGCCAAGTCATCAGTCCCTTTAATCCAGCCCAGCAGGGATGTGTTTGTGTTTTTGACAGTTCTTGTGTGCGACTGTGCTTTGAAAAACTTCAGAACTACTGTCTTAATGTTGGTAATGTTATCCCCTGGGGCATATTGCACAAACATTTCCAACATAACATACTTCTTCAGTATTAACTTGCATTATATATTGTAGTCATTCTTTTATCCATGTCATTTTGATTTCCAGAAGCTCTCAAATATGTCTAATCTTAATTTGTTCTCTTCTCTCTTCCCCTGCAGGACGAATGTCATAGGATGAACACTGCTGGTGGGGTGTGTCTGTCTGTGCTGTCCTCCCTCCTGGCTGTGGCTGGGGCCCTGGCTGCTCTGTCTGCCCTTGCTCTAGCTCCACTCTCTACCCTAGCCGAGGTTGCCCATGGAGCTGTGGATAGCATCCCCAGCACAGGGGCAAATGGAGGACCCTCACCCATCTCCTCATCATGTTCCAGCCTTGTAGCAGGGGTGCTCTACGGTTCTTTCTCCCTAAGGGAGCTTTTTCCCTTCAGGAAACCTGGTTGCTCATGGTCCTTGGAGAATCCAGATCCTACAAAATATTCCCTCTACCTTCGCTTTACCCGAAATCCTATCATCTGCCAAATGCACCATCCTATGCTCCTTTCACTGGACCACCACCTAGCCAATCAAAGCTGCCCTCTTCATCTACAGACAACAACAGCCAGGGATCAAGAAGTTGTTGATCTCTGTGGCAGCACCTTAACCACAGACAGACCTTACTCCTTCCTGCAGTTTGATAAAAACTTTGTGCAGATATGTCTGACGAAACATCCTCTTGCAGATGAGGCTCAGGTAACCAAGGAATTGCTGGAGCAGAGGCTAGTGGAGGTATTGCTCATCAACAACGAGAATTCCAGTCAATTTACCTGCGGTGTACTTTGCCGTTGGTTTGAGGAATGCCTGCGGTCAGATACCAATGGGGACCTGGAGACACCTGATGGAGATGTTTGTGGGATGACCCAGACAGGGTGTATTTGTCCTAATCACAACATCATGGCACCACCAATACCTCTACTGCCGGAGACACCACACAGTTTCAGCAATGGCTCCCATGTTCCAGATGACTGCTGTGTAACTGAGCTTCACTCCAATGAGGCAATTGCTATAGCACCCAGAGATGTCCGACAAGGTAGGACACATGAAAAGTGTTTATGTATCCCTTTAAGCAATTATAGGTCATCCCCCATTCAGAGATTTATTAAACACAACATCTATTGACACATATTGTCAATATATATACTTGACAATGCATTATTACTTTTAAAATTAGAACTTTATTTCATATGTGCAGTGGTTTACTGATGCAACTGAGTTAGAGACAAATATATGAGAAAATGTATTCTTGTTATGCCTGCTCTTTATACTAATCCAGGGAGGTCAATATTCTATGCTTGACAGAGAATTTATTATTTGGATTTTTGTCTTTTGCATGTTGCCCTTTAATTAAAAAACTAAAGCAGTTCAAAGGCAGCCTTTAAAACCTCTCATCAAAAGATTAGTAATGCCTGACAGAAATTCTGCCTTTTGATCTATATTTTAGAGATTTCCCCATGTGGCCAAGAGGTGTGGCTCCAACAGTGTATGTCTACACTCACATCTTTGTGTGCGTACAGCACAGATGCATGAAACAGTATGTTTACTTTGTGCAGAAGGGATCAGATGCGCAATGACTGGCACAAATCTGCACAAATGGTCATTTGTAGATCAATACATTGAAGCAGATAATCCGTTTATACACAAGATGATTGCTTCATGCGTTTGTATAATTTCTTGTTTGCCTCAAGCAATGTACATAAATAACCCATTTGCAAAAAAAAAGAGTGACAAGTGCACACACTAAAGCTTCTTAATAATTTGCCTTCATCACTACCACCAGGTTATACATTCCAATAAAATCCAATGAAGGTAGAGGTGAATAGGATATAAAGCAGAATATTCCAATTTCATCCATAATTCAACATAATCTGCAGTTTTTTTTAACGGTAACTTCTTTCATGTGGAACCAGGGTAGTTTTGAAAAACTTTACCTGAAGGGTAAATACTGTGGATCATAACTTTAGAGACAGTCTTACCCTTCTTCTAGGAAGGTAATTTTTGCTCAGGCTCTGTGCAACAGGAGTACTTTTATCATTTAGCAACCTCACAAAGGGATGAATAAGGAGTAGAAAATTACTGATGGTATGATAAAGTCTCTCCTGCTTTTAAATCAGAATAATGTTCCACAGAATGCACCTTTAAATAAAAAGGAAGTACTTTGATACACCAAACCAGTTTACCCAGTTCCTTAACAAGATTATGATCATTCTTCTGCCTGGGTTGTTACCTGGTCATATCTCACATTTAAGGTGGATGGTCACATTATTTCCCACAGTTTGTTATTATTATCTATACGCTGGTAACTAATTTAGTTGCATAAAAAGTTTTTGGGGAAAGATCACCAAAACTGCTGGTGTATTATTTGTTATTTTTGGGTACACTTTGTTTTTGCTTTATTTTTTAGTGAATTAAGCCCTTCATGTATTTTTATAATACCAAAATACCTCCTTTATAATATCAAAGGAGGTACTGTATGTGACTGTGCATGTTCACAGGGGGTAAACAAAGAGGTTGACTACTACATCTAGGCTAGTTAGCAATTCCCAGAAGTGTGCAGTAATGAAGAAAGGTCCAAGATATTGTATGAAAAAAACATGATGAATGTCATATTCTAAAATGGAGAAGACTGGAAAAGCCCTCAGAATATATGGTAATATGAGCGTTGGTGTTCAAAGCTACCCAGGCTTTCAGATGTGGCTGTGGAGTTGCTGGAAATCTGAATTTTCATATACTGATATTTACACCAGTTCTTACCTTGAAGCTATGTCCTTGTTTATGCTTAAGAACAGGAAGTTTTGTTTACCTTGATATTCTGAGGGCATGTCTGCGAAGTACTGAGTAGAAGTTAGAGTTGCTGTGCAGTAGATCAGTTTATTTGAAATTATATTGGTTGATCAATCATGCCGAGCTGCCGCCTTGCCGCTTTAGAAAACCGTGTAGGGAATCCATCAATGGAAAAGTCAAGTCTCACATGCCTTTGATGCATATTGGTGTAACATGTGACACTTATGACACACGATCAAAAATGATCCACTGGCGATACCCCTTTTATTCATATACAGAGGGAGTTACAAGTGCACAAACACTTTTTTGCTATCTTTATGTTTGAGAATTTTTTCACTTCAAAATGGGTTTCAGCAAATGTAAAAGACTTTAAGCTTTTAATTAACAAAATCTATACCAATAAAAGAGCCTGAATGAAAAAGCAACATTTTGAGCTTTTAACTATGTTTTAATCTTCATCTAAATCATGCACACATCTGTATTTCACGTGATTCATGCATCTTCATAAAATTTGCTCTCAAAGCAGCAGATCCTCCCTATTCTGGAAAAAAAAATAAAACAAAAAAACAGTGACCAACTCTGGTCTATATAGAGCTATGTATCATGACCCACCCTCTTCAATGCCTGACCAGTAAACAACACGCCCCCTTCTTGCAATCAGGGAGCGTTTAAATGAGGCACAGCGCGGTCATTTCTGCTCAAAGTTAAAAGAAAGTCTCTCTTTTAGCACCTATTGTGCACAGCAACAACAACTGTTATTTATTTAGCTGGTGGCTGAATTACAAAAAAAATTGTTTTCAGGAATGGTGTGATACCATTGCTGCAGCGGCTCCATAGCGATGTCATGAAATGGGCACCCACATGGGGAGAGGCGGTGTCGCAGTGAATTCTTTCTTTGTGTTGAAAGAAAACAACTAATATTTTATAACAAATTAATACTGCATGGTGCCAAAGATATTATCTTCTCATATATCTGCCTAAAGTTTATCTTTGAAGGCTTAAAAAACATGTTGTAGGACATTTAATGCACCTATTGCTGTACATTACTGTAAAAACAAATAATGGGTTTGCAGAAAAAAGTTTGCTTAATAGACTTCCTTATCCTTGATCCCTTCATTTCACTGGTAAAGAAAATCCTACCCTCTGCATTATGCTGCAGTCACCATATTTCATATGTATAGTTTAAGTTCTGCCACACATAAGGTTTTACAGGTCATCTAGACTGTTTGTTTATTTATTTTTTCTGACTAGATTAGCCTCTTAAAACGTTTGATTTTTGCAAAAAGAAAGCACAGAAGACTTTCCTCTCACCACTTATAAATGTACATAGATAAATGCTTTTATTATTCAAATTGAATTTACATAATAATAAATGTAAGCCATGCAGCTGTCCAGCAATTATGGGAAAACAGGCCAGCAAAAAAAAAAAAAAAAGAAAAAAGCTGCCACACAAAAACAACAAACAAACAAAAAAACAGTCACTAATAGGTGCAATTTAAAATAAAAAAATAACCTAAGATATTTTTAGTTTGATTGTGGGAGGGAGCCAAAATACCTGGAGGAAACCTTAAAATTGTTAGTTATGCTGAATTATATAAACCTTTTACCAATAAAATTGCAGCATTGCTGTGGGTGACCTGATTAAACATTGACACTTTGTACGGTCATGATATAATTATTTTTAAGACACTGCGCTTGCAGAAGCTTTCTGGTTATTATTTTAATTTGTTGGGAAGAAACAGAAAATATTTAAAATAAAGTTTAACTTTGACTTTTTGGTTCTTAGAAGTTTATAGGCAATGTTCATTGTTTGAAGTACAAGGTCTCTGGCCATCAGAATTATATATTAATCTGACACTTAAATGATTTCAAATGTATAAAAATACATAGCATTGACAAACATGAATTTTTATTCAGATTAGATATTTAAAAACAAATCGAAATTGCAAAACAAACAGGCTCTTTTTTTATCCCATCCACTTAAATCACTTTGAATATCCTTAGGAATTATGTACACCTGTCTTTGTATTGCGGATGTATGTAGATGGCTTTGTAATTAGTAGATTAAGTCTGATATACCTTTTAAGATAAATTATAAACAACAGTATTTTTTCTTTATCTATGAATTGATTTAAGAAGCATTCAAATCAGGTAAATGAAGAAAAACATTGGAGCACAGGCCAGTGTAGGCACTATAATAGGCTTTGTAATGCTTCCCTTTAATACATTTTTCATATGACAAAGCCTGTCTAATGAAACATCCTAAGAGTCTTCCATTTGTTTCAAATGACAGAATGATTTTATTCTGTAAGGAATACACAAATGTAATCTGACCCACAGTGCATGAATTTCTATTACACTTTCAGGCCTTTGAACATAATACATTTCTTTACAGCCACTGCTTCTGATGCAAGCCTAAGAAACCATATGTAATATCACACCATGGAGCAGTGACAAAAATTTCATTTTTTGGCGTGTATAAGATGTCCTGTTGCTCAATGTCCAGTCAACTTGAAGCACAGCAAAAGTAGGGACATATTCATATCATCATCTGGTTTCTCTGGCAACCAGCAAAAAACAAGGATAAAAGCAGCAATTTGCTGCTGTAAAATGCATCATATTCTCAGTAAAGAAAATTAAAACCATAAACTACTCAGCACTCTTATGTTTCTCCTCCTGACGGACTCCCTACTTTTGTCAGTCAAATGCATGGTAAAACCAGTTGATTCAACATATGTAGGTCAATGAAAGCCAAAATGAATAAGTGTGTTTAAAAATTTATATGCACAGCACTTCAGAGTAAATACATAAATTCCCAGAAAGCTATAGTTTAACAAAATAACATTAGCAGGTTCAGTATTCTAAAACAGCTATCCCAATTAATTTAAAAAATAAAAATGTAATCCCAAAGATGAATTATATATATTATAAAGTTTTTGTTGTTGATTTTAAGGCCTATAGGCAGAACGGATTTTCTGAATTGCTCTTTCTTGCACCAGATTTGAAGAGTCTTTTGATTGAAGACACTTTGTTGTTGTTAACTGTAATAGTCCTCTTAGAAGAAGTTCTTCACTTTATGAAGAATTCTTTTTTTTTTAAATCTCTATCTGTTTTTTCCCCATGAAATAGCTGTAAAATATCATTAAAAATCCATACATTAGCTTTTCTGCTAGGTAGTTGTTTGGCTGTAGTTAAATTGTTAATTGGCAACACAAAAAAGCAAAAAAGCAACAACAAAAAAACCCCCAA